ATTAAACAGTATCATGACTCAAACCTTGGACTCTTTGATCTGCAGCCTGATATGATAACCATTATGCCATTCACGTCTTTACTAAATAAAGAACAAATATTCTAAAGTTGTAGTTTTATTTGTATTTTGACATAACATTTTATACCAAAGAAACTCGCATAAATTTTATGTTTGACAAATAAATTTTAATATCGGGAAAACACTACACTTACTGGTTACTGTATTAAAATCTTCTTTACATAGTAATACAGATTAATCATGTGATTCATTAGATGGTTGCCTGGTCAGAGGTGACGTTAAACTAAGAAGCGACTGCAAGAAAATGGTTTAGCTGAAGCTTATAAACAAAGGTATATGATAGCAGGTATATCTATCTAACAAAAGCATTGTTGACAAATCATTTTTTAAACTACCTATTTAAAAAAATATCTGTCATCAGAATTTATTAACATCGGTAAATCAAAGAAGAATATGAACATTGTTAGGGAAACACTCTGACTGCTAAGTGTTGGTGACTAGCCGAAAAAAAACAAACAAGTTGATGAAGCTGGGCAGGCTTATAAAGTATAACAGATGTTAGTCACATTTGTGTTCCAGTTAATCAATTTCTTCAACAATGCGTTCAACCATACCATGTAAAGGGCATTTTTTTATATTTTTCTTTTGTAATATCGGTCACGCTCAATTTCCCTGAACTTCATGAGCTATTCGAGTCCAATTCTACTTTTTCTCCTATAATACTTCCTCTTTTGATTGGCCGTTCCATTTTGGTTGAATTTAATCACTAACATGGGCATCAGCTCCTAAGTTTCAGCACCTTTTCTGCTATACAAAAGCCTGTCAAGGAGGGAGTTCCCAGGACCACATCATACATGGTGTTATGTGTGTAATGCCATAGCATCCATATCATTATGACGTCAAGCTAGGTAGAATCCGAAAAGGAAAACCTGGAAAACTCCCGTGATCGAAGACACGGAAGTGCATTCGCACCCTACCAACGCCTGCGAAAAATAACTTAAAAATTAGTCAAATTTATGCTTGGGAATTATTATGAAAACAGACTGAAGATACCAATTATTTGTAGAGAAAAGAACGACTTTTCCTCAGATGTAGAACAGGTGTGTATACAATCACATGTTCATCGTATTGTTGCGTCATCGAGGTCACGTGACTGGTGTGGCGCCCTCTAGTTTCTAGAACTATCTTGTTCTTTCAGGAATGCTCTAGTATTTGCTAGATAGGGTAGGCTGGTATGTAAAAGAGGGGAAGGTAATGTGTGTATAGATAGTGAGTTATTGAACTGCAGTCAGAGAGCACGAGAGACGTTACAGCGTTTGTTTAGCGCGATTGTTGAAGTTGAATGTATCGGTAAAGTTATATTCGGAGAGAATAAACCAGTTTTTATTAAGTAAGGACTTGTGTCGTTAAAGTTTCGTCGCAACGAAGTTACGGAAAGTTAATTAACAAACCGAGACGTAACAGTATGTTTTAATCTTTTACCCAAAGGAACCAATATGTAGCATGTTTGCTCAATTATGTGTAGTGGATTCATTAGCAATATGTAGCATGTTCCTGGAAAAGGAAATTTGATATTTCTTTTGCGTATTGCCAGTTTTAAACGGAATAGTTTTGTTTTCCAGTGGCTTCCCGTCATTTTTGACGGGCTTTTACATTAGTAACATTATAAACGTTCTTTGTGGATTTTATCAAAAACTACAAGGCCACTTTCATAAAATTTAAAAGCACACATAATTTTGTCGATATATATTTTTATGAGAAATCATCTGATAATATTAAAACTCTTTCGCTCGTCATATTTAAAAGCAAGGGTTATATCTGTTTACTTACCCTGTTCCCTTTTTCTCCGACACAGTAGCATCCTTTACAGTCTCTTCCTCTGCAAATCACACTTTGATTTCTATTCCAGTCGATTATTCCAATGTCGCCTCTTCTGTTCTGTAAGAAGAACAAATGCATTTTTATTATCAAACAAGTTTACAATTACAACAGTATAACTTTTAAAACTAGAATCTGAATATTTACTTGTAACCATATATATATATATATATATATTGTACAATGATTGAAGTTCGTGTAAACTTTCGATAGGTGTGTCATAGCATCACATTGGTATAAAAAGTTATGCATTCTCTTCTTGCGTCATTTCATGTTTTGATTTTTCACTCTGCGCTCTTGAAACAGTTATCCAGTCAAATGAAGTTTAGGGATCAACAGTCTCTTCTGTAAAGTTTGTTGCTGGATGTAAGCTATTTATTAGATATTTTTTGTAAATAGATAATTTAGAATATTATCATTATTGTTTTATAATTTGTTTCATATTTTGTCTTCGGTGAATAATAATAACAAAACCTTTAAGCGTCCTCCGGTGGGACAGCGGTAAGTCTACGGACTTACAACGCTAAAATTCGGGGTTCGATTCTTCGCGGCAGACACAGCAAATAGCCTAATGTGACTTTGCTTAAACAACAACAATAATCTGTCAGCGATCCTGGTAGTAAACAAAACAATAAAAAACAAGTTCAAAACATATTCAAGCCACTAAATGTTAGTTATTGTTGTCGTTTTGTGAAACCGTATTGTTGTTATGGTAGCAAAACTATATGACAGTGGCTTGAAACAAGTTTCTCATCTTTATCTATACATATATGTACTAATTAGGAGTGATGATTTTCTTTACTGAATTTCGCACAAAGCTATTCAAGGGCTCTTTGCACTAGCCATCCCAAACTTAGAAGTGATAGACTAGAAGGATAGCAGCTAGTCAACACCACCCACCGCCAACTCTTGAGATGCTCTTTTACTAAGTGTAAAGCAGCAGTTCTGACCCGTATTCATTTTAATTTCGATCTTCTCGATGACAGCAATGGAATTATCAAGGATTTCAGTACTATTACTCACGTGTCGTTGTCTCCCCTCTCTAGAACCGAACTATAACTGGGCGTTGAGGGGGTGGGGACGTGAAACATCCAGCATATTTATTCGATATCAATATTCCAGCTAATATCAGAGCCGTCGCAGTGTGATTACAGATATTCGGTCATTGTTTTCAGGATTTATCCGGTTTCGATCTAGATACCTTTAGGTTTTAATTGAAAACCTCGAAACAAAATTTAAAATCATTAACAATGGTGGTCTGATTGTTTTTTATAGTTCGACCAGGTGGGGACAAAAAAAGGAGTTTTCATGTCAGGGTGAAATAATACTTCTATTGGGTAAACAGATGTCTCCCTTGCAACAGTCGATAGTGATGAATTTATATTTTCAAACTTTCTTTTAATTTACTTAAAACGTCAATAACTTATTCACATATGTAGTCACTGTGCTATAGTTTTAAAGTTAGGTTTTAATGGAGTTTCCATTATCAATACCATGTACACTACACAAGTTAGAACAATTCTGCTTCTTAGAATTAATTTTTCGACTTGCATACTTATTTTTAGGACTAATAGACTATTAAACCCTATTCTATAAAGCCATTATAAAATAGCCCCCCCCCCCAGTGGCACAGCGGTATGTCTGCGGACTTACAACGCTAGAATCCGGGTTTCGATAACCGTGGTGGGCAGAGCACAGATAGCCCTTTGTGTAGTTTTGTGCTTAACTACAAACAAACAAATTAAAAAACAAGTAATGACAAACCCATTTATTACATTATGATGAGGTTTTATAAAAAAGTTGTAAAATATGTAATAATATCAACATCAATGCAGCTGTTCCCCTAGTGGGGGCAGCGGTAAGTTTATGGATTTACAAAGCTAAATTCGGAGTTCAATTCCCCATGGTAGACACAGCCAGATAGCCTATTGCGTAGTTTCGCTAAAACAAACAAAAAATCAATGCAGTTCATTTGAATTGTAAAAGAATTAAGTTATAGTCGAATAACTGAATTTCAACAAACAATTAAGATACCATGGCCAACGACGTGTTTAAATCAATGCGCTCTGTAGCACCTTAGCATTCTTTAATAGAGTATTAATAATAATATAATGAATATATTGTCATGATATAAAAGACTGTTTAGTTTAGATATTATTGTTTTTTATTTTTGTGAGTGAATATTTTTATCATTGTTTAGTTTTTGTTATAATAAGAGTTAAAAATCAGACGATTGTAGGAAGTTTGTTTATAAGTCATTGATGTTGAGACTATCGAACGTCACATGCAATACATTTATGTCGAGAATATAGAAGGCGGACAAACTATTAAGTGATAGGCATAAAATAGTGTGGCAAATATTGTTAAAACCGCATAGGCGACAAAAATTTCAAAATTATATAATAGGTTGAAAACTTGGCAATAGTTCAACCTATTATTTAATATAAATAGTGTGAGACGAGCGGAAACAGCAGACAGACAATATCAGAAGAGCGTAAAGTTACAACAAAAAATCGGAGACAGACAAATACGGAGCTCCATGTATAACAAAGAATGCAAGAAACTGATATTTCTCCATTACAAATCACATCACCCAGAACAACTCAAAAGGAGAACAATAATAGGAGAATGAAAGAGAATAAATCAAAACTGCTCTACACTGAATGCAATTTAAACAGCACAAAATGACTTTAAAACACTGCTATTACGAAACTGAAACGGATACCCCAAATACTACAACAATAGCGTTTTCATATTAGAAAAAACAACAACATTAAAAGAGAAACAGACCCAAAACCAAAAAGACTTACACGAAAACGCCAACAATGAGCATTCCTTTCATAAACGATACAATCACAAACAAGATTCGTAAAGCCATTAAACAATCCCAACTGACAATCAACGTAACACAAAAAACAGGTAAACACTGAAAGAACTATTTGTTCACTCTTCATTCTCACAAAGAAAATGTATAAAAAAACAAAAACATTGTTACACCAGAGAAAACAGAGCAAGACAAATGTGCCACATCAAAAACGTCGTCCACCAAATCACTTGTAATATATCGTTACGTCTCCGTTCGTTAATTAATTTTCCGTAAATTCGTTCCGACGAAACTTTAGCGACACAAGTCCTTTCTTAAATAAAACTGGTTTATTCTTTCTGAATATAAATTTGCGATATACTTAATTTCAACAGTCGTGCTATCAAACGCTATAATTCTCAACGTACGTCTCACGTGCTCGACTCCAACAATACTTAGTTCAATTACACATTCACTGTCCCGTCACGTTGTGACCGTCTTATATATACCAGTCTACCCCCAATCTAGTAGTCTCCCGACAGTTCACGAGGGTTCGAGAAGGACGTGGCGTGATACTAGTCACGTGACCTCGCTGACGCAACAATATGTTGAGACATATATATAGGAGAAACCGGAAAACCTTTCCACACACACGCATCTCAGAACACATCAGTACGCTATATACACATGACCAACACAAAACCGCTCAAGCAGAACATTTCCTACATAAACACAGATCTCCAAACACAAAAAACTAGAGTATCACACAGTCTTACAATTAGTTTTTAACACTGCTAGTAAATCTCGAATCCTTTCCACTTAATATTGTTTCTTAGCAACTTCTATTTTATGTCTGTGTATTTTCAGTTAATCATAAAAAATATTTCGGTTCTCTTTTTTTATATATATTTTATTTTAGTAATATATGTCATATTTTAGTATAGCTACGTAATATAAGTATATTATATTAGAACAATAATGAAACAACAAGAATATTTTATACATTGTTGGAGAGACCTGCGACAGACTCGAGAGATGGAACATCACAATCAATTTTATAGATTAACATATACTTCAATATCAAACAGTTTGTATGTATTAACCCTGAAGAAGCTGCAAAAGCGAAACATTGGTAGTAATAATATATATATATATATATACATCTGGAATGTAAAAGTCGTTTATCTAAACTTTTATTATAAAGTTACAACAAGGAAAAGTTCGCCGTCAAGTTTACCGTAGAAGTGATAGTCCTAGCGTTTAATATGTTAGAGTAAGACTAACAGTAGAAAAGGAGATAAGAATAATAATTTATTCCCTCAAAGCGTGGTTCTAAAGTAATTGAATCAGTCTGAGGATATTTTGAAGAAAGAAGATCAAACGATTACGGTAAATCGAGCCGCAGTTGTAAGTGAATCACACACAGAATACAA